CCTGGCTTTGCCACTGGGTGATACCTTAAGGGGAGCATCCAACATTTACAGGCTGCCATAAGCGTGTGCATAGCAACTGAGCTCGTACCACAATGGCAAAGTAGTTGCTGACATTCTTCACGTTACGTAGCAGTTCTTTCTTTAGTACACATGCTCGCTTTTCCTTCACGTATCTACTCTGCTTCCGCTTGTCGTTTATGCTTGATGGTGACAAGTCAACAGTGCGTATTTGCTCTGCATCACAGGCAAATTTCAAAATGCCAGTTCACACTACTCTTTAATTTCAATGAGTTACTGTCAGTTTTGAAACGACCATCTATTTAATTAGTATCATAACCTTTACATTAAACACACATGTGTATAATGTAGGACAATTGTATCTTTCTTCTTTTCCTTGGTCACGGAGATGACAAACATCCACAAGATAGCACTGGCTAAATTTCTCGTCTACAGTGGGTGACAATGTTACCATACTCTGTCAGACTAAATTCCTTCTGTCTAAACAACTAACGATTCATTTTAGGACACACCTGTTCGTAGTTCATTGCAGGACATCAAACAGTGTTTCTTATGACTGTCCGATGACTGACATGCAATTCCAGAAGCTTGGCATGAAAAGGTAAAATATCTAATTGATACAATGAAATTTCATCAGCAAACCATCCAGATTTTATTGCTTGTTTGACAGTAGCTACAAACCGCAACTAATGGTCAACTGTAAACATAGGTACGAAGCGTGTACTAACTTGGAAGTGGTAGAAACCCTGAAGTTTCAACGTCAACTTACCACCATGTTGTTAATAACAAAGTAATGTTTGCGGCAAAGTGTTGGAGTCCTTCAGAACGATGACGGCCTCCCTCAGACCCATGATGATGGTGACGAAGGTTCAGTTAGATTCTAGGTTCAGTCAACGTACCCCACGACGTCGGTGTGCTTGTCGTGGTGGCGGCGAAAGCCTTCTTTCGCACGTGCCTCAGCTGCCTCGGTCCGGGTTTTGTCGACCCAGCCGTCTCTTCCCAGCCGGTTGACAGCGACACTCACAACGGCCGTCACGGCTCGGATCACCATCCACTGGGCATTAGCTATGTGATCATCGATGGCAACCGCGCCCTTGTAGTTCCCCGTTGCGAAAAATCTCAGTGCGATTCAATTAGTAGCTGCTGCTCGACGGTCATCATCTCTCATCGTCGAAGTCTCTCGTCCCGCAGCTGGTCACACTGCGATCACAGGATGCTTTTCAACAAGCGGTATTGTCGTCAGAAACAGTCGTCGTGCATCGCGAAGGCTACCGGGTGCTCGCGGAAAACACGTCATTGTACGCACTGGTCGAGCCGTCGTTGAGCAACAATCATCGCCGCAATTTTCTACGCTTTAGAATCCTACCCAAAGCTTCTTCCCCCTCGTACAATAGAGACGGAAGTTAAAAACACGAGCACATCAGTCTGAACGATGCTTGCACGAACGTTGACTTGCAGTGCGCAAGCGCGCCTGGTCGACAGGGACGTTGAAAGCCCGGGGCACATTCTTGTAGCTCCTACACCCGCACTAGCTCGCACTCATAGTGAAACAGAGAGTAGGGTGTGTCGAGTAATACCGCAGTTAATCTAGTTACGCGACTTCCGCTATGTGCTACGTAGGTCGGACATGGACATACGTCACTTTGACGTCACGGTCCGTACTCGAAGATTGACAGTTACGGCAGACGGTTGCTTTCGTGTTTCGCGAACGTTCCCATGGGAACCACGTGGAATTATCACGCGCGCTGTAGCCAATAGGAGCGCGCGGTTCGTAGGGGGGAGGAGTTTTCGAGAAACACGAACGTGACCGTTTGTGACCAGAATAGCACCCCAGCAAACTGAACTGTTTAACATGATGTGCACGTGATGCCATAACACTGTATGCCGGTGGCCATTACGATTCGTTCTTGCTGAGAAAGTGAAATCTGGTGGTGCAAAATGCACGCTGCAGAAGGTACGCGCTCAGCAGCAAGGCTGCCCCAAGAGCTTTAAAGTGTAAGGTGAGTGCACGCCATGGTATTTGAGATGCACAAATTATTATTGCTTGGTGCAGCGTCATGAGGAAAAGCGCGAGCATCGGCATCACAAAATAGCGCTTTCTGGCAAGAGTGTTTTGCTAACATAGTAGTTTTCGGAGCTACGTTCTCTTGTGTCGTTGATGCGGGGCCAAGAAACGTTTACAACACTTATGTTTCAAGGATACCATCTCCTCCTTTTTTTTCTTTTTTTTTTCGTTGCTCTACCAGGGATTTTTTTTTTTTCTGATGAACATTTTGTTGGTATTTTTTTTAGTTTGGCGGTGTTAATTCGGCAATTATATCTGGGTCCCCTGTTAACACTAATCTTCCAATGCTCTTATTTTGTACAAAAAAAAAACTGTGAAGAATAAACGAAATACGGAGGTGGTAGAAGGTTGGGGAAGAACGTGAGAACGACACCCCTGTGAAACGTTAGAGTGCCTACCAACGTTCGGCTGTCCCTCTGAGGCCACTAGGATCTTTCGTTTTGGGTATCCCTCACGTACACGCTTGTAGTTTTACGTAACGTCGGATTAATAGGTCACATTTAGCCCTTCCTATGCTTATATTCTCGGGGACAACTTTCTCAGACAGTTCAGCAACAACGAAAGTGTGTAAGGGTGCCTCAGTGATATGTAAGTGTAAAATCAGCCGTGCAACAGTTTTTTTTTTTTAGTTTCAGTAAATACCGCTATGCACTAATCACTGAGGTTGATTACCTGTGAGACATCCATTAGTTTTCATTTTCGCGCAATAGCAGGCGCAGAAAAAAATGAAGGAAAGAAACAACTTTCTCCTCCTCAACTCTAATTTAGAACAAGCGACCACCTGATCTGACGCCAATTATATACCGTCAGTGTTCATCATAGTCGTGCGGTTGGGATGTCAAAGGATATGGCATAGGCTGAGTTTCAGATATTGTTAAAATTCGGCTATTCTCACATTTGATTGAACACGAGGCAACCCTTCTCCAGGGAATATTTTCATCAACATTCTACTATGATGTTTGCCACTGATTTACAATAATTATTCTTCTACGGAAAAATGGTACAGATTCTGGATAAAACGTTGACTGAGATTCTTTTTGAGAAATTTCAGGGCTGCAGTACAATAAAATGTAGGCTTAAACTTTTTTTGCAAAACAAATTGACATTTTAGAGTGACGCTCTCCGATGCATATTGGGGCTGGAGAAGCCCGTAGCCTATCCCGACTTATCCAGCCCCAAGCTGCAGCAACAAAAGAAGTTACAACCTCGTCGAGATAGCAGTGGGAAATGGGGAAATGGGAAGGGTGAAGCAAAAGATTTTCCTACCTTGCGAAAAAACTTTTTTTAAGTCGTGCTTTAAACAAACTTTGCCGCTATAGACGGTCGAGTTTTGTTGTTAGCCCAGTAGCGTGCGGGATGGACTATACGGCGTGCACGTCAGCCTCCTCTTCCGCACCCCGTGCTTTCGTTTACCCTCCACACGCTCCCACGTGCTTTCGTTTCTCACCGATCTCAAACAATGACGGCGCGCTTGACTGTCTCGTCATCACACCTTCTCTGCGCGTTCTCTGTGTTAGCCTCTTGATTGGCGTACACCAAGGACGCTTTTCTGGAGCACTTGCCCTCCGTATAGTCCTTTACGGCTTGAGAAGGCGCGACCAGCCCCAAGCATATCATTATGGCTCCGAAGCCAGTAATGTTGAAGCATTGGCACATAAGGACGCCCATGAGCAAATCGCGAAGTCTAAAACGTAAACCTAATATGCACGCGTTTTTTTTTTAGGTTGTGATTGATTTGGAGGGCATGTCCTGTTCGCCTTTTTTTTTTTATGTCCTTGTCTTTGTTAGCGCCTTTAATTTAACAGGTCATAAAGCAACTCGCCCGTTTCGCCACTTTGACTAGATTCACTAGAACGTTAGCTTCAATTTGTCTCCTGGCGCAGTCGCCGCTGCGAGCCGATGAGGCGAATCAAGCAGCGCGAAAAAGGCTGCGTCATGGCGTCAGTTGTTGTTCCGTTTGTTTGTTTATCTATACATACGCATGGTCTCGCAATCACCGGGCAAAAGGCAAATATACTCTGCCTTGCGTTGCCCGGTTGACTGGCGGGTGTCAACCAAGGCTAGACCAATTAGGCCCAGTGAATGCGCCTTGACCTCGTGCTTTTAGTCGGCGCGTATGTGTATGTATGTATTCTAGCCGTTCAGTGCGCTCTAATTTATGGTAAACGAAGTATAGCCGAGCTGATGGGTCTGCATGGTGTTGAATGAGTTTAGATCAGTACCTTTATTTATTTTTATTTTTTTTGCACGAATATATGTCTACTCCTGAGCCAAAAACAGCGTCATGGTGGACTGGCTAGGTGTTCATCCCACTGACCTGGCGCTCTAAACTCGTCAAACACAAACTTGGAGCCGAACTTTACGGAGCGCGTCGAGTAGATTCTGGCAACTATGACGCCGCGCTTTCGTCGCCGGCGTCCAATCGTCGCGTTTCGCGAACTTTTGGCTCCAACTTTGTGTTTGAGGAGTTCAGGGCTCCTGGGGCTCTAGACTCGTCAAACGCAAATTTGGAGCCGAAAGTTTGCGGAGCGCGTAGATTGAACCTGGACGAAGAAATGCGGCGTCATCGTTGCCAGTGTCCACTCGACGCGCTCCCTAAATTCCGACTCTAACGTTGTATTTTACGAGTCTATGCGCTCTGGGTTAATATGCGATATGCGAGCGCATCTGTAATTTGTACACCCGGTACTGCTGTTTTTCCGTTAAATGCACTCACGTGATTTGGTTTCCTTCGATCTTAGCCGACTCCGCTGCGTAATTGGCTGACACTTCAGCGGACGCTCGTACAAAAGCAAACATTTCGGAATTTTCGAAAACACGGCACGTTTTCGAACGCCTGTGTCAACTCTTATTGAATGCCTCGATTATACGAGCTTCTTTACGTTTTTGAGTGACTCTGTGTCTGTTACTGTCGCAGCGCGCGTCCAGGTGTCGAGCTGGGTTCGCGAAAGAGAAAAGCAGTCCGGATGCCGAACCTGCGCTGGGCCATGGATGCCGAGAACAGCAAGGGCGCAGCGGCCGGCAGGGGAACCTCAACCGCCTTCCGGCCGTCGAGCAACGGTGAGCAGAGTGCCGCCTGCCTACACCGAACACCCTATGCTCTTTTTTTCTTTACGTCTGCCCCGCGCGTATACTTACACCCCTGCACAACACACTAACCTCGATGTACTTGGATTTGCAATACGCATAAGCGGATGGCATGCAAAAGGTCACCCATCGTATGCTTCATGTGCTGACTCCTACCAGCGTAGGTCCAACATTATGCACCTCATTATGCAAAAATACGAGGCCCAATTCGCCAAGGAACTTTGCATTCGCTATAGGCTATAGATGGGCCTTTCCGGTACTTCATTTGCATAGAGCGAATACGAATGTACCATTTGCTAGATATAAAAAAGGGCACAATGTTTGCTCACGTTTATAATAGAAAAAAATTTAATGATCGTATTGTGAAACTATTTAGGATACCTAAGGTGCATAGATTGAGTTATTGACCCCAAAGACAAACTTAAAATTTGCATTAGTGCCCCTTTATTAAGATAAGAAGGAACAGTGGTCCTCCCCAAATAATTACACGCTCGGCGTGAGTGACGAATTCAACATACCGTTCGTGTCATTGCCGTTACGAAGACATTTCTGGTTCTCAAAAAAAGGCAAGGCACATTTATTTTCGACACTGATTTGCCTGAGCAAGACCGGTATTGGTGGCATTATACTTCCGAAAAACGAATACAGCTTTAAGCATTTTAGCTTTTTGCTACTTGGTGACCATTTTACTTAAAGGGGCCCTGCAAGGACATTTTTACTGATTTTTAATTTGCACCGAACCTGAGCGCACTGAACGTAATAACTTAATGAAACTTTTCTTTTCTCGAATTTCGCTTTATTTTAGAAGTTATAGGCAAATTAAAATTACAAAAACAAGCAAAAAATAGTCTCCTTCATGACGTCCTTGGTTGTTTGAGTGGCCGTGAATTAGACGAGGGGTAGTGAGATCAGAGCGTTCACGGCTGCTGCACTCCGTGTCGACGGCTCGAGAGGGTGCCACTAAAGCATCTTCTGGATAGGCTGCATGAAGCGGTCGGCCAGGGCGGCTCGCACTGCAGTTGCTTCGCGATTAAACACTAATTCGGCATGACACTTCATCGGCCACAAATGACAGCAAACATGGGATAAAGATCAGTTCAGAAAAAGAGCCACTTCGCGCTGCCATACCGCCAAAGGGCCAAGCTGCAGGCCAAAGCTGCTCGCCGAAGGCCTTTGAAACGCTCGGAACCGGTCGGATCCTCCAGTCCGTACGACCGTAGCGCCGCCGCGTACATCCGTGACTTTCTACACTCGCCGCTCGTTGGCGCCTGATCCCACTACACCTTTCTAGTATGCGCCGCCTTTTCTACCGCCTGGTGGCGGGTATGTCGACAGGCCATTTCTTGTTTCCGTACTTTATAAACTGCATCTCTTTCTTTCCTGATCTAAAATACCCAACAAAAGCTACTTTTATAAATAATTGAAACGGTTCGAGCCACCTATATTATGCATTTTGACCAAAAAAAAAAAAAAGCTTTTAGCGGCTCTGACCAGTAGTAAGCCCAGGACCAAAGACGTCAAATTTCGCGCGCTTTCGACACCGCGGGTCGCCACCATTGGTGGAGAAGGTTTCCGCGTCGTCCGGTTAAAGTATGACGCAGTAATATTTAGTTACTATCTCCGTGCCCGCTGGTTGCCCGAACCCCAAGAGACGTGGAAACCGCAAAAAAGGTAGGCGCTTAAATATGATTGTAGGGCCCCTTTAACATGTCGATGCGCACCGCGAGCATATTCCAAAAATAAGACGGGTAAACAAGGAGTGTGTTTGATTGTCCCTTGCTTAGATCACTGAGCAAGGGCAGAAAATATCTGCCGTAGGTAGCTTTGGGTAAGAGGGGGCGATTGGCATATATTATGACACCAATAATGACATCCTGAAAAAACGACGTCACGAAACGCCATTTTTGTTTCTGAAATTTTTCATGCGTTTCTTCTTTTTTTTATTGCAATGTTATTGGCGCAGCGTACGATGTCTAAGCTTCAATACGAAGCTGTGAGTATTGTGAAGGGCTCAAAACCGAGTATTAGCGAATCGTTGTACCACCACAATGCAAGTTGAAACATAAAAGGTTTCATGCCAGCGCGAAGCAAGCTGAAGTTACTGTTCCTAACTCAGCATAGAAACTATTCGAGTTCACCTACGACACCAAGCGCGCAGCCAAGCACATCATCTGGCGAATATTACGGAGGTTAAACCCTCTGCCCGCTTTTCGAAGGTCATCTCGCAACATCATGCACTGTAAAAAATTTTCACCCCATTTTACGGGCAAAAGTTGCAGGTTCAATATTGCCGGTATGATTTGCCGTAATCTAGAAACGGGACTGTCTGTAAAACCAAGGCATATAATTCCGTAAAATGACGAAACGTCCGTAGTTCACTTTACAGACAGTTATCCGTTTTCCATTTTACGGGTAAAAGTTGCCGGTTCAATATTGCCGGTATGGTTTGCCGTAATCTAGAAACGGGAACGTCCGTAAAAACAAGGCATATAATTTCGTAGAATGACGGAACGTCTGTAGCCCACATTACGGACAGCTATCCGTAGGAAATGTGAAAGCTGTCCGCATTAAATACCGAAGGACTATACCTTTCCGCCTTATAAGGCCAAAGCCTCGAGCCATCCGTACCACCTGCACCTCCGATACATCAGGCGACTCACCTGGCAGAGCTCTAGATCTGCCAGGGGTGTCACCTGACTTATCAGAGGTGCAGGACTGGCGCGGATGACTCGTCGCTTTGGCCTTATATAATTCGGAAAGGTATAGTCCTTCGGTATTTAGTGCGGACAGCTTTCACATTTCCTATGGATAGCTGTCCGTAATGTGGGCCACAGAAATTTCGCCATTCTACAAAATTATATGCCTTGTTTTTACGGAGAGTCCAGTTCAAAAAGACGTAAATGTCAAGTGTTTCATTATTTAGTGCAAAAAGCTTTCATATTCAAGCAAGCCTAAGTCACATGAAGCTTTTGGGGTAGATTGGTATGGAGAGTTCATAGCTCCGTCATTGTAGATATGAACTTGAATAATCTTTCATCCTCAGCCAAAAAGTTCATGTTTTGCAAAAGAGAAAGAGCACACAACCTGTACTTCTCACTGCCAGGATTTTGTTTGTGTGAGCTCAGCTGTTCCTATAGATGACAGCTCAACAAACGAACCAATTAAGAAGTTTCGCCACAATACCTTTATTGGAAGAAGGCATGCCTCGCTTTAGCTTTGGAGAAAATTTACATTATAGTTGTCCTTGTGCTGGCCATTTAGATGCCCCTCCATGTTTGTGCTTGAAGTTGTCATTCAATTGAAGACCTCCTCGGTATCTTCATGGTGCATGTAAGGGCAGCTTGAAATAAAGAGCAGAAGAGAATTTGCATTCAAACACAATCGCAACAAATTGTATATGACATGCATGGTTAAAGTAAGTAAGCAACGTGCTTACCAACTAGCCTAGCTCCTACTAAACATGACATATAAAATAAACCCCCCATAAATTGAACCAAAGTAAAAATTTGCAATGATTTGAATACCAAACATATCATGTGCTTGAGAAATAGAACTAGCCAATTAAAATTACACAACTATTCAGTGATGTTAAGCATATTGGATTGAGCCAGATCTCCCTTAGTATACAGTATAGACCACTTGCAACGTAACCGCTTATAGTGCAGGACCGGGTATAACGCGGCTTTTTTAAACCACCGGTTCGCCTCCCATAGAACTCCATGTATTTACATACCGCTTAAAATGCAGGCGCGCAAAGGGAAATACCGGTTATAGTGCGGTTTTTGGAACAGCGCGCCGACTGACCGGCGCTGCGAGCACGCTTCCCTGTGCGACACTAGATAACGGCACAAGCCGCAAGCGGCACTCGCAGGGCAAGGAGATTGCTCGAAGAAGCGAAGAGAGGCTTCAGTTGCCATAGCGACGGAGGGACGCACGCACGTGTCGTTCACGTGCGTGCGTCCCTCCGCTGCGTTGGAAACAAGCAACCGCAACGAGAGACCAATCGCAGGTCAAGGAGAAGTGTTCGCGCGCGTTGCATGCTGGTCGCGGACCGGCTGCTTCTATCCGCAAACATGGCGTCGGTGGTGATCGTCGACATAGACGGCATGGTAGAAGCTCATCGTTCCGCGTAAAAGCGCTATCCTTGACTGTGAATTTTCGTTGTGTGTCGCTATGATAACCCAGCACGTACTAGAAGGGAAGATCCACCTACTCGTGCGGCGATGTTGTGGTGGCACTCTCAAGACGGCAGAAACGCCCATGTCGTCGTGTTTGTTTACTATCGACTACAGTGGTGCTTTCTAAGCATTTGTGTTTTCGAACATCGTCCGGATTTCTTATTTGGAGCATTTCATGCCTGTGCTCAAGTTGTAGGTATTACTGGCGCGTACTGTATAAAGGATGCGAATTTTCCTGCGTTTTCATCGCCGGAGAAAAGTGATTAGGGTTAGCAATCCTGAACGCTCGCAACGTCCGTCCGCAACCCGCGACGCGTTAAAAGGCTGCGCCAGGCAAAAGTCACTAATTTCTTTCAAAATGTGTGACACACTTGAGAGAGAAGTGTACTAGCCTGGTGAAATAAAGACTTTCCTCAAACTAAGCTTAATTTTTCATCTAACATAAAATAAATTCTTTTACAAAGGTAAGTTGTCTGATGGCATGTATTTTGGCCTGAAAAATTGATGTTTCGGTTACAGTGCGGTACCGCTTATAGTGCGGATTTTTGCGACTCCCGCGACATACGTTATATGCGGTCTACACTGTATACAGTAGGCTCGCGATATAAGCACATTGGATTGAGCCAGATCTCCCTTAGTATATACAGTAGGCTCGCGATATAAGCACATTGGATTGAGCCAGATCTCCCTTAGTATATACAGTAGGCTCGCGATAATTCAAACTCGGATATTTAATACTTCTGGTTAAGTCAAACAAATTTCAAAACTTTGGTTGACCCGCTACGTTTTCAATGT